TTTGAAAAATGCTCCATAATTAATTGAGATAGGAGGAAAAATAGTTTGACAAACAACAGCGTGTGTTTTCTTGTACTAGTCAGTGTTTCTCCCTATCACAAAAGATGAGTGGGTTGTTTTTTCAGTTGTATTATAATGTTTAGCTTGTTTATATGTATGTCAGTTGGGGGAAGAAGGATTGTGAAAATGATAATATGTAAAGTGAGGTTTCACAAAGAATAGACTTTCCTAAAACAGTTACATTTATTAACTTCTCTAAAAAAATATTCTATTTAGTGTTTCTGAATTCTTGTTTTTTAAAGCCTTAAATTTTGTATTTAAGGCTAAGTAGAAGGTGAACGCATTTTCGCTCAGTCATTTGCTTTATTGGTGCTAGACCCTATCAAATGTTCATCAGTATAAAAGGAGTTCAGTTTTTCTTTGTGAAACATCACTGTGTGATAAAGTATATGTGTATTTAGCATCCTTGTTTTTCTTTATGCTAAAGTGGATTCAGCTGTGTTGGGGCGGAAGAGACGGGACCAGCTGCTGACCACATTTCCTGCTTTATTTTAAAAGGTAGTATCAGAAATGAGAATAAAGAGGTAACAGGGCTTTTGCTGTCTTTGGTTAAAAAAGAAAAAAAGATTGAATGCTGGGATCATTTACTGTCATCCAAGATGTGTGTTTTAAAAGACAGTATCCTATCAAAGAGGTTTTACTCCACTGTATGCAGAATTCCATCTGTTCAGGGTATATTGCCAGCACAAGAGAGACTTGGTGTTACCTTAGAGCTCTCTGGTGGCACTAACGGGACTGCTCAAAGTTTCAGTCTTAAGTTGTGCAACCCTGCTGTAATTGATGGGTTACGCCAGTGCCACAGAAATCAGAGTTAACCATCAAGACCTGTACTGACTGATACGCAAAATGGAAATAATTCAGTTTAGACTCAACTTAGGCTCGGTCTGCCTAGCTCAGACTTCATGAACATGCTTTATTTTTAAGTTTAACATGCTTGATGAAAAGAGAAACACTAATGTAGCAAGTATGGGATGTTACAATGGCATTTTTACAGTTACTTCAGTGTAGAAGTGTTTTTTAAATTAACTTAAATATGCATTCTTTCTTTTTGCATCACTGCTTAAATGGTAGGGGTCAGGGACGTAGTTCTGGTCTCTGTTGTGAACCTGCACATCACTTAGTTATGAAACTACCTGTGAGCTGTGTCTGAGAGTAGCTAATTTTCTGACATGCAAAACTATGTATACCGGTACAAGAACAAGGTCAAGTCCCAAGAAAGTAAGTGGCTGCAGGCATTTCTAGTGCCTACTGAATCATATTTAAACCAAATAAGAGGGGAGGAAGTTATTTGAAACTCTAACTGACTGTACTATCTGTATGGTGTATTATTAATGTAGCTTTTTGAAGTGGAAGCCTTGAAATGATATAACTTAATACTTGAAAATATATTGTAAATGTTTCTTTGTAATTATGTGCCATCCAGAAAAGAGTACAATACCATAATAAAAGCAGAGTTGTTGATCTTTCAATTTATGGGCTCAAATGCTTTTTCTTCTTTCTATTCTCATTAATGCTTTGCTTTAATTGAGTGTTTTGTTACAAAAATGGGAAAACAGAAAGGGGAAAATGCTGTTGCTGCTACCTGTATGGTTCATCAGTTGGAAAACAAGATAAAATGCAACAGGGTATGCAGGAGAAATGTTCTTACTCCTCTGTCTTTCAAGTTAAGTTTGTGGTGAGCAGAAAATTAAGGCATTATTCCTTGAACTGAAGATAGAGTTGTACTTCTGAGAATCACCACTCTGTGTATTTTACAGTTGTTTTTCTTTCTTAATATTTTATTAATGTGGACATGTTTGATCAATAAACCATGGAGGAGTAGGGTACTTCCATAAATGCCTCCATGGTCGATTGGCATCTTCCTCCTTTCTGGCCCATTTTTAGGTTCTGAAGTTTGATGACTGGTTAATAATATGCTGTTAAACCATGATCTTTCATTAAATTGTTATTTCCATGATAAACACCAGAGAGTGTAACAAAAGGTTTGAGGGTGCGGAAAGGACAGAATAGTTTAAAGCCCCAGAATGAGCCATGCACTGTACTACTCTTTAGTTTCTGTTAATTTTAAATGCTTATTTGTAGAGAGCAGTTTAAAATAATGTGCTGGCTTTCTAGCATCCAGGCATTCTAGTGAAAGTAGTCTGCAGCTTGATAAAAAGGAACATGTCACAAAAAACATTGCCAAGTGCCATCAGTGTTAAACTACATGGCCATGCTACCTCCATTTTCCAGTATTTCTCCACCCCACAGTTTCTTTAAGACTATTTAGCATTTAAATAAGAAACAATTTCATGCTCAGTTCTCTGTTAGTCCTTCACGGTTTGATTCCAGTGTTGTGATTCTTAGTAGCATTCTAAATTAACTTCTCTCTCTTTCCTCTCAAGAGCTTAGCAGCATCTGGGAGGAAAAACTAAATTGGTGTTTCTGCAACCTCTATCTGCCTGGAGAGACGATAACAAAGTAAATGTAGGGAACCATATTCCAAAACTTGGCATCTCTTGGTACTTTCAGATTATCAGATTTCTCATGCCACTTGTCAAAACCATAATCAGTTTTCCCAGTAAAACACAGAGATCTTTTGCAAAACACAAAAGGCCTTTTGTAAATTTACTGATTTTTAAAAACTTACATTCTCTAGAGCTTGTATTTAAAGAGGTTTGCTCTTAGGCTGTAAATGTCTCAGGGATATATTAGGTACAGGGGTTGTTCAAATGGGCTTTGTGGTTAAAGAATACCCTGTGTAAAATTGCACATTGACAGTAGCTGGTTCTACACTTTTTCACCCAGTTTAAGTGGGATATGCTGATTTGGAGAAATAATTCTGCCTTTGCTCATGAGCAGGAGGATGCCAGGAGCTGGCCTAGGGTGGGTACAGGGGACACAAGGGTACCACTTGCATGGGGCTGTGGAACAGATTGTAATGTTGAGATTTCACATCAAAAATGGTACATATAGAAGATAAAATTATTGCTTTTTAGTATTTCTGTTGATTCTTTTCTATAGCCACTCCTTCAGCATTCTTTTGACAATAGTTTGGGACTTCAAGTAGTCAAAAGTCCATGAACAGGGGTTAGACACACGCATTCTTCTAAGAATGCAGTAACAGCTATTGCTGTGATACCTACTCTGCAACTGGCTTGTTTCTGCTGAAATGGTAGAAGAAAGGATACACCTAAAACCTCTTCTAACTCAGATTTTCCAACAAGGAGGCAGTATTTGAGTTTGTTATAGTTAGTAGGAGGTCAAGAACTGGTCAAACTCATCCTTTGCCTTCTTGACAGTTGTATGAAGTATGTTGTACCACCTGTGATGCTGGAAATAAATACTGGTCTTTGCAACTTATAAAAAACATTGAGGAATGTATTTGTTTTTCTTGCTACATACAACCTTCACCTTTCACTCTAAGAAATTAATATTTTTTTAAAAAATGTAGTTTGTCCAATTAGATTATTAAATATCAGAGCATGCATTTTGATTACTGACAGTTATCACTTGATATGAAAATGAAAATAGTACATGGAATGGAAGATAGTTTTGAATCTCACACTTCAAAAAGCACTAGGACCTGTTTACGATATCTTAACTGTATCTTGTTGAACATCTGCAATGACTGAGCCGTTCATTTTCATTCTTAAAGATTCTATTGCAAAGTAATAGCTTTATTTTATGTTTTTGTTACCACAGGTAAGTGGTTCTGTTGGTTGAAGTCTCATGACTTCTGGAGATATCATAATTCACTGTCTTATAAAACACTGGCTCTGTGAGAATCTCAAAAGTGGGGGTGATACTGCAATACTTTGAATTAAGGAAAACTAAACTAACTTTATGTAACAACTGTTGCAGATGCAGTCTGCTGCTTCCCTGTAGAAATAAAGCCACTACTGCTGGTTAGAGAGAAATGGAGTGCATGATGTTCCTGCTGTAACAACAAAAATCTGTTAGGGAAAAGTAGATAAACATGATCAAACTCCTTTAATACATTTTTCAGCAGTGCTAGAGCATAAATTCTAAACCAGTCCAATTAAAGGTCTCAATGCTGAATTTTTAATTCTCATCAATTAATATTTCCAAGTGCAGCTCTGGGGATACTAGAATTTTATTGTAAGTGTAGATGATTACCGACCAGTAATCGTATGGGTTTTACTGACAAGACCATGCATCAGAGTGAGATGATTCCATCTGTAAAAAAATCCGTGGTTTAGGTCTCAAACTGCAGAATACACTAAAGAAATCTTGTACAGTAGTAAAATTAGCAATTTATATTGCTCTAGAACGTAGCTGCCAATGTGAAGACAAGCCTGATGTGTAAGTGACTGACTCTGGACACTAATCTTAAAACTAGAGGTAGCTGGGATACCACAGTAACCCCGCCAGCCTTTTGAGGCCTCTCAACGCAGTTCCTTGCTTCGGGAAAATACTGATTTCAAGGAAAACCGGTTACAAGGACAACTTTGGTCACTTGATAGATATGCTAGAAAGCCTGACACAAGTATCACTCCCGATTGCTCTGTGCTAATAGTGTTCTCTACAGTGTATAGAGTGTATACACGGGGTAACCTTTTGACCAATTCTGTGCTAGCAGAATGGAGGAAAGTCCAGGGAGAAAAATACTCAGATTTTGAGGAATCTCTAGAAAAACCTTACCTTGATCCCTCTCCCCATTTTTTTAACCACTGGGGTTTGCAAATAATTTTTCAATAATACTCATTTGTACAGCTTCTAAAAGATCACCTTAGACCCAAACACTAAGCAAGCAATATAAATGCTTTTTTTCCCTCATTTCCGAATAAAAACACTTGTCCTTATAAAGCTATTATTCAGCTGTACATACTAAGCCAGACATAATGAAAAACTTAAATTGCATTTAAGTTCAGAAGTGAAAAGAATGCCAGTGCACTTTGTTTTTCTATTAAAAAAAGACATCAAGCAACAACTTTTCTTTGTTTATTATGGTTACTTATCCAAGGCAATTGAAAAGCTGCTTAACTTCATGCTTGTAGCTCTTCAGGATCCCTGCCAGTGTTCATCTGCTGCAGTATTTTAACGTATATTCCGTGATGTTTAGTGGCAAGATATAATCCAGTTAGAACCTGTACAAGTACAGCAAAACTCATCTTTCTAAAGACAGGCCGAGCAGTTGTGAGCCAGAAGCGTAATAGATTTTTTTTCCCTGGCAGGGGGGATGATGAATACCTAAACAACATAAACAGTGGGAGAAACTTATTTTTTCGCTTCCAATTTAACCATCAATATTTAACATTAAAGTAATTAAAAATATTTAGGTAGATACTCATTCTTTCAGAATTTAAACTGAGAACTGAAGATTTGACCAACAAATATATTTCACTCATTGCAAGTTAAGAAGACGTACCTGGCTGCAAGGCTTGCGTTCATGGGGAGAGCCAGGAAAATGGGATAGAACCCACCCATGACGGCCCCTATCAGTCCTCCTCTGACCACAGCACAGACCTCACAGTTTAGGTCACCTGCACAACAAACAGTATTTCACTGTCTGTGTTCACGTAGTTCCAACACATCAATGTATAAGCTGCGTGCAGCAACACAGAAACAGGCGCTCGGCAGAAACAGCCACGTAAGAAATTTTGAAGGGAGAAGTCTTCATTTTGGGGTGGGAGGGCGGGGAGAGGAAATCACCCATGAAGAATTTATCACTCTAAATTTGACCTTCAAATGAAATCATACAGATGAGGGAAACTGAACCACTTTATTGCAATCACTTGCAAGTGAAAAATGATAAAAATCAGTGATGCATAACAGTTGGGTTTATAAACATATATAAATACACTATGTATCTCCTTCACACTCAACTTCAAGAACTCATTGCTGCTCCATGCATTAGATAATCAGTTTTTCAAACCCTGCTTTACAAACTGAGGGTTTTCAATACCACAACAGTTCAAGACCACAGTTAAAAGCTCCTCTAGTGTTAACACTGTGTACAGAAAGCAAAGCCCTTTTGAAAACAAGGAATAATGAGGTTTTTACCTGAAAATAAAGGCTCCCGCACAAACACTTCATAAACTGCTGCTGTTGAAAGAAAGGGAACAACAGCCATCGGCAAAGCAGAAATGAAGGCAGCCCTTCTGACGTGCAGGATGTTCCTGAAGAAATTATTTGCCGCTAAACCGCATACGCTTGAATTTGCTGCGAGGAAGTATGATCCATGATTACAAAGGTTCCTGTGAAAGAAGGAAAGTCACTTCAGCAACTGAGAACTGTAAAAAAAGTTTCATTTACTCCGTGCTACAATTAATTTCTGAATATCCTGCAATAAGAGGTAAGAGATGTAAATCTCGCGCTGTTGCAAAATGGAGAGCAACTACTTTGAAAAGCAACCAGTACAGCACCCATTGCTACATGCCTGAGTTTATATAGCTCGAGAATAAAGTGACAGAAAGGCTGAGAAGCCTTTTCTACAGTTTTGTTATTATGGCTAATGAAATTTGCTCTCCTAATCAGCATGTTTCTAAGGAGAATTTTTTCTCAAAAGATATTTAAAAAAAAAAAAAGAAAAACCACCACAGCTAGCTCCTGTAATCAGCCTTGTTTTAGCCTGCTTACCCCCAAAGTATAGGTTTAGTTTCAACAGAAGAGCTTACAGAACAGACCAAGTGGGACACCTATGACAACTGAGACATGCAGTAACAATCTCAGCAGCTGCTCACACATCATTTGTAGTGATTCTGTAGGCTGAAGCCTTCCCTGCATGCACGGAACACGTGAATTTAAGGTCCTGCCTTGCCAGGAGGTTACAGTAGTTAAAGGTTACATATTAGTTTACAGAACTGGAGCTTCTGTTTTTTCCCTTGATAACAGAGGGACTGGAGTCTGTTATTTACCATGTTTTTAACATACGGTTTAGAGCAGCTACTCCTGTTCGAATCTGTAAAATGGTCAAGGCAGAAGAGAACAAAGTCTGGTCAAAGATAGTCAGCGTTTAATATCCTGACAAACAGTTCCCATCTGAAAACATTCCAACACAGCAGGGTACCATCAGAGAGGGAATGGGAAAATGTGCCAATTTTACAAGCCTGATGAGCAGTTTGTGATTTATTACATTTGACTCGCAGAAGGAAGTTGTGCATTATCTTTAGCGATGTACCTGGCATTGTCAGTTGATAAGTGGAAACAACTCTTTGCTTTAGGTTTCCACAAATCTAAAATTCCTGGAATGACAACTTTTGCCAGGCAAAGCAATTAACTGGAAGGCACTCAGATTCTGAGCCTGTGCCAATATTATTTTGTTAAGAGTGTACTTTTAAAGTGCATCATAAGTTGGATTTGTCACTAAAGCCCCAAATAAAATAAAAATACTTAACTGGTCACAAAATTTATGCTGGGTCATATTTATTTGCAAAATTATCAAGTGTGACCATCTCTAAATCATTTAGCAATTGAAATACATTATTCTTAAAAATCCCTCTACTTAAAATTCTTCTACACTGTAATGCTTACAAATCATACAAAAACCCCTTAGAGATGTAGGCGCTAATCTTGCAATCTAAAGCACTAAAAACATCTGACATCAATAACACCAACTATTTCTCATTATGAATAGGCAAATACTTTCATTCTTGGTACATACCAGATTTTCAAGCATGCAAATAAGCTAGTAACAATTAAATTCTGATGCTATATAGCGAAGAACTTCACTGGTCAGATATCCCTCTTGCCCTTACTTAGGAGCTATGATTCTTTTTTTGGTGTTTTGTTTTTTGTTTTAAAAAAAGAACAGAAAATACTTAGGCTTACTGATGTACAGACCTGCCACACTGCACGAAAGGGAGGATGGAAGGGTTGTGTTTGGTTTGGGATTTTTGTTTGTTGTGTTTGGGAGTTTTGTTTTTTTAAGTACTACCTCCCTAGTGTTAAAAACAAGAGCTGTGGTGAACAGGAACTCTGTGTCTGACTGCAGCATGCTTCCTCTTCCCTTCCAGCCATTAGCGACCTCCCTCTGGACACACAAACTTTAAGTCCTGCCAGGGCCCTTTCAAATGAAGGCTCACGGCCCTGGCAGCTCTTTCTTTCCAAGGCCCAACAGTCCCTCAGCACCACGGCTTCTATCAAGACGTTACCACATCACCACTGAGGTATCTGCCTCCCCCTTAGCTCCCCAGCTCTTCTGGGGAACAAGAAATGTCCTAAGTTGAATATGAGGGCAGCAGATCCCACACAAAGCTGCACCGTTGACTGTAATAGGAGGGATAAAGCCTTGGTGTTTTTCTTTCTCACCTGTGTGGGGAGGCCCTGCGTTACTACCTGCCGTTTGTTTAGCCAGCAATTTAGTCCTATTAAAAAAAAAAAGCTTCTGATTACTCTTAGTTATACAGAACTTATCCAAGATGATACACACGTGCAAACGGCTCCTTACAGAACCAGCTCAGGTTCAGCAAGGTTTTGCAGTGAAACGCAGTATCACAAAACACAAAAAGGTTGTTTGAGAGGCCCAGAAGGCACTGAGCTGGTTTTGTGCTGCACAAAACCCTGCGGGTGAGCCTGCATGACTCTGGCTGACTCGTCCACCACCTGGATACCTCAGTCTCGCCTTCCTGAAACGGGGAGCAATGCAGAATGAAATGCAGAAAACTAGCAGGTTGATGTTCTCTCAGTTCTGGCCCCAGGCCAGCCCTGCTGGACACAAGATGACTCCTCCAGAATCACAAGACTATCTGCCTTATGCTCTCCAACATTTCAGTTTCCTAGAAAATTTATTAGCTCTAGCACAGGACTGTATGAATGCTCTGAGCCAGTCAGGGCTGTCCTGACTGCATTGAGGAGCACGTACCAGAAACCAGCTGAGCAGGACCGGAGAGAACAGCAAACTAACCATATTTGAAAAACACAAAACAAGTTTTCTGTTCTGGATAATAATAAGCATCCTCACAATTAAATATTTTTGTAACTGCAAGGAAGATTTGCAATACAAGAGTATGGGAAAAGAAAAGCCTCCAAAAAACTTGAAATGTTCAATGTACTTATCTTCATTTATTTTACCAGCACTTACTGATCTGCTTTAGGAAGCTCATTGAGCACCTTTTGTATGACTTCCACCCGCTTAAATCTTTCCAAAAATAGTCTTTGCTGAGGAGAATCTAGTTCAAAAAACTCTCTTCCTGTCATCTTGAAGTCCTGGATCATAAGGAACAAACAAACAAACAAGTTTATTCAAAGTTATGCAGCTCCAGTATGTATCAAATAAATATTTAGACTCTTCTGGTGCTATGCAGTCACAAATACATTTCCTGTTTTTCATGGCAGAGTTTTCAGATGCCAAGGGCACAATCCAGCTACAGAAGTACATGGTATTTATGACTACATGAACCCTAAAGAACTGTTTTCTTCAGTGATGTTCCAGCTGTGGTTTGACAATTGCTCTAAGCAACCTTAAGTACTCGCTGTGATGAAAATGGGAGTGTCTCACCCTCCAGATAATCCTGCCTGAGCACATCCAGCCCTAGAGCCATACAGCAGCCTGGATCAGGAAATTCACAGGTGAAAACTACTCAGAAGAACAACAGGCAGTGTACTTGTTTTTTCCAGCTGGATCACCTTCTAACACAACAATCCCTGACACATGTAGCACAAGGGAGTACACTAATGGGACAACAGTTTTTCGCAGTTCTCCAGGTTTAAATTGACTTAACTGTCAAATAGAACTGCAGGAAAAAAACCCAAATCAATCCATACTTTGTAAAGATTTAAAGAAATCATGAAGACACCTGCTTTTATATTTCGCAGTTAAGGACTTTTTCTTATTGGTACTCTTAGCTGGAGACATACATCAAGTCAGAAAGCATACAGCTGTACATACATCAGGTTTACACGGCAAGGTTTTGGTAGCTGGGGGTGGGGCGGGGCACGGTACAGAGGTGGCTGCTAGAAGCTTCCCCCATGTCCAATAGACAATGCCAGCCAGCCCCAAGCCAGACCCACTGCTGGCCCAGGCCGAGCCCATCAGTGATGGTGGTAGTGCCTGTGGGATAACATATTTAAGAAGGGGAAAAAATAGTTGCGCAACAGCAGACAGAAGAGAGGAGGGAGAATATGTGAAACAGCTCTGCAGACACCAAGGCCAGTGAAGAAGGAGGAGGTGCTCCAGGCACTGGAGCAGAGATTTCCCTGCAGCCCATGGTGAGGGAGCTGTGCCCTGCAGCCATGGAGGCAACGGTGGAGCAGATCTCCACCTGCAGCCATGGAGGACCCCACACCAGAGCAGGTGGATGCCTGAAGAAGGCTGTGACCTTGTGGGGAGCTTGTGCTGGAGCAGGCTTTCTGGCAGGACTTGTGACCCCACAGGGGACCCACAATGGAGCAGTCTGTTCCTGGAGAACTGCACCTTGTGGGAAGGACCCACACTGGAGAAGTTCAAAAAGGACTGTCTCCTGTGGGAAGGACCCCATGCTGGAGCAGGGGAAGAGTGTGAGGAGGAAGGAGCAGAAGAGATGATATGTGATGAACTGACCACAACCCCCATTCCCTGTCCCCCTGTGCCACTTGGGGGAAGGAGGCAGAGAATTCAGGAGGGAAGTTGAGCCAGAAGGGAAGGGTGGGAGGAAGGTGTTCTTAAGATTTGTTTTGATTTCTCATTACTCCACTCTGATTTGATTGGTAATAAATTAAATTGATTTCCCCAAAGTCTAGTCTGTTTTGTCTGTAGTGCTAATTGGTGAGTGATCTCCCTGTCCTTATCTTCATAGAATCACAGAATGGTTTGGGTTGGAAGAGACCTTGAAGACCCATCTAGTTCCAACCCCCCTGCCATGGGCAGGGACACCTCCCACTAGCCCAGGTTGCTCAAAGCCTCATCCAGCCTGGCCTTGAACCCCTCCAGGGATGGGGCATCCACAGCTTCTCTGGGCAACCTGGGCCACTGCCTCACCACCCTCACATCTTGACCCAGGAGCTTTTAATCACATCTTCTCCCCTGTCCTGTTGATGGAGGGGGAGCGAGAGAGCAGCTTGCTGGGCACCTGGCAGCCACCCAAGGTCAACCCACCACAACAGCTTTGATTTAACCTGGTATTCAGTGCTTCAAACGGTTTTCCCTGGAGGAAAGTTTCCCAGACTTACTTTGCCAGTCATACTTACCTGAAGTTTCTTTTATAACTTGGAGGCTGTGTCCCAAGGCCTGTGTTCGCTTTGACTGGGGCTCGGCGGGAGCGCAGGGAGCAGGGACCGGCGGCAGGACCTCACCCGGGATCTGCGAGGCTGGCGCCAGCTCTGAGGCCTCTCGCTTCGCCCTGTGGAGAAGGCAGGTCTCCAGCCTT